GAAGTGGAATGTGGTTTGTGGCGTTACGAGTGAAGCCACTAATGAATCAGCGTCTCTGACAGAGGGAGGCAGAGAGTCTGTGGTTTGGGCTGGGACAGAGTAAGCAGGAGCGTAAAGGATTTACGCAAAACTTTTAGACGCACTCACATTTTCGTTTGGGCATCCGATAGAACACTAATGACAACTTTCGTATAACTTTAGAAACCCACACGGCCTCCACATTCTCTCTAATGGCACAAACACACTTATAGCTTCCTCCTCTCACTCCCACTAGCTTTAGACAGAAAAGCTAATCAGGCTGAACATCAACATTCATTTTGTTGTTCCAGCTCAAGCTTGATGTTGTCCTCCCGTTTTGTAGATTATATCATCAAGTTATGTAGAGTTGGTTTATTTAGCTGACTTGGATTCTCTGGCTTCTTTGAATCTGTCATGGTGGTTTAAAATATTCCAAATCAAATTCTTTGGCGGACGATGGTGGCCTATTCAGAGTGATTTTATTTATGCTTACAAGACAAACAATCATTCACACAGCAGATTCGTAATATATCACTGTTCTACATTTAACTCAGCGACTGTTATATATGGGATAAAAAATGAGCTTATTACACAGACATGTTCTCTGCCACTATATAAAGATGATTAAGTGTCACTACTTATTACGAGCCATTCTTTACTGTAGCCTACCTCCCAGGAAAATATCATAATTTTTAGTACATAACAGTCCTGAAGCTGTTTCTATTAAGAATTACAAGGTTTTAATAGGTGCTTAGAAATACTTACAAATACTCTTAAATAAGAGCTGCAGGCTTAATGGAATAATACACTCAAAATGAATGTGAAACAAAATTGAATTATATTTCAGCTGTTTTGGTCCATATGCAAGGACACAAAACAATATTGGTTTCCATTGACTTAAATTCAAATTCAGTCTCTTTAATGGAGAGGTTGATGGGTGTGTGTAGATGTAAAAATAGCAAATAAATCTGAAGTGCTGTCAGATGTGAAATATGTTCTGGCATGTGGTGCATATTGATGTTCTCATGGTTGTCGGAACTCCTCTAAATCAGCTGTCAGATCAGTTTCCCGCATACACACTTTATTCAAGAGCACAGACTGTTTTTGAGAACCATGCAAGATTTTTATGATGGATTTCACGATGTGAGATTGCGTTTCCTCCCTCGTCTAATATAGCTACTGCTTCCCATACTTTACTCCTTCACAAAATGAGAAGAGAATGTCTCTAATGTGATCATACAAGAGGGTCTTGACAACACTGATTTATATAACACTTCAGAATTGGACTACACATAAACACAGTAGTGTTCAAGTAAAGTTCACAGTAAAGACATTTCTAATGTTACAAAAGATTTCTGTTTCAAATAAATGCCGTTCTTCTGAACTTTATATTCATCAAAGAATAAAAGAAAAGAAAAAAAAGGTTTCACAGTTTCCACGTGAATATTAGGCAGCACAATAGTTTTCAACGCTGATAATAATAAGAAATGTTTCTTAAGCAGTAAATCAGTATATTAGAATGATTTCTGAAGGATCATGTGACACAGAAGACTGGAGTAATGATGCTGAAAATTGAGCTTTGCATCACAGGAATAAATTACATTTTAAAATATATTAAAATAGAAAACAAGTATTTTAAATTGTTGTAATATTTCACAATGTATTTTTGTTCAAATAAATGCAGCCATGGGGAGCATGAGAGACTCTCAAAACATTGAAAAATCTTACCGACCTCAAACTCTTGAACAATAGTGTGTGTTTCCTCATACAGCTGTTGTGATGCCTCTGGTCTGCCCATTGAAACTCTATCCATGTACTGTCCTGTCACTGTATGCTGATCTATAGTGGCGACATTCCACAGGCAGTGTGAGTGTGTGTGGAAGAGACTATTTAAGAGGCCACAAATGAGTGTGTTACCACTACCCCATGGTTAAAAAATTTCTCAATTAACAATTTGAAGTGTGAAAGCCCATATATGTTACCCTGGACCACAAAACCAGTCTTAAGTCACTTGGGTATATTTTTTAGCAATAGCCAAAAAAAATTTGTATGGGTCAAAATTATCGATTTTTCTTTTATGCCAAAAATCATTAGGATATTAAGTAAAGATCATGTTCCATGAAGATATTTTATACATTTCCTACCGTAAATATTTCAAAACTTAATTTTTGATTAGTAATATGCATTGCTAAGAACTTCATTTGGACGACTTTAAAGGTGATTTTCTCAGTATTTTGTCCTATCCTAACAAACCATACATCAATGGAAAGCTTATTTATTCAGCTTTCAGATGATGTATATATCTCAATTTTATCTCAATCTTATGACTGGTTTTGTGGTCCAGGGTCACATATGTGCAAGGAAATGGCTAAGAACAACTTTATTAGTGTGTAAGTCATGTCATGAAAACTGCAAGCAAACACTCAAAGCTACTGACAAAATCTGTATTGAGCTGACTCTGGCTATTTATGCCACAAATCTGTCTGAACACAAATATGTTCCAGCTGAGCCCTGTCAAACAACAGAGAATTACAGTATTCATGGGGAAGTGTATAACCGTGGCAGCTAGTCCATTACATAACGGAAATGCCAGTTTAATTGCCTGTTAACACAAGATGCAGATGGCATTGAATGTTTGTCACACTCAAGTGCACCCAAAGGGCTTTGCACTAATATTGCCAGTAACTAATCAGGTGCTCAAAGCTGCAGCTGTGGAGCAGGATACTGTAAAACATTTTGAGGTTGGATGGACAGGACTTGATTTTACCCATTGG